TTAGCTAGGCCCTAAATGGCTGGTCAGTGGACATGAACTGTACATGATGGGTTCGTGTTCAGCCAAGCAACTGTAATAATAATAATAATGATAATAATAATAAAGAACCATAAAGAAATAAAAAAATAAAAAAAATATCAAAAGTGAGAAACAATATATGTATGTTTTGTTGTCAATAGCAAGAGAAACAATTGTGACCCTGCAATTGTGTGTAAATGAGGCAGAATGTCAAATCAGCAATCTGGGACTTGGTCACAATTTTCGTGATGCCATATGGCAGCAGGGTTTACCATTAGACAATACATTATGTTTCCAATATTTTCCCAGGCGGTAGTACCTCCCTGTTTGGTATGAATGATGCTCGAGTAACACACACACACACACACACACACACATGAGAGGTTCACGGCACCATCAGCTCGATGAACAGGCTTTGTGTGAAATATCACATAGTCTAGAACTGCTTTTAGTGCTCTTGTGGTATAGTCGGTAGCATTCCCTGGTCCCATGCATTAGGTCAAGGGTTCGAGTCCTGGCTGGTGAGGTCGTTGATTATATGTTCAAAGTCCGCGTGTTATATGGACTAAAAATGAAGTATATATGGTACCTCGTGTTTCATACCAGCTGGATTCGGTAAAATGCTATTGACTCCCACATAAGAAGCATGGGCAGTTCCCAATGAGAGGTTCACGGCGCCATCAGTTCGATGAACAGGCTTTGTGTGAAATATCACATAGTCTAGAACTGCTTTTAGTGCTCTTGTGGTATAGTCGGTAGCATTCCCTGGTCCCATGCATTAGGTCAAGGGTTCGAGTCCTGGCTACTGAGGTCGTTGATTATATGTTCAAAGACCGCGTGTTATATGGACTAAAAATGAAATATATATATATATATATATATATATATATATATATTGTTACATATTGCTATGTATTTACATACCCGTAATATACTAAGACCTAATGCCGTATATTCTTTCCTATCAGTCACCGTTGTAAGAGCAGTTTGGTTTTCTATGATAGATGTAAGAAGATGTATGTCCTTTGAAATTAGTTTATTTTGTGTATTTGTGTGTGAATTATATTGGTTCAATGTAATTGCTAGTATTTTTCAATCATATAATATTATGTACTTATACGATACTTTTACAAAAAAGTTTTAAGTAAATATTCTAATTGGAAAAGATGTATTGTTGTTTAATGGGTGATGGTCTATACTCCAGGGGTGAATTCAAGGTGGTTGTAATCTTGTTTCATCCATTGTATATCCTACATTTTGTTATTAATTTATTTCCCAGCATTTAGGGTGAATACTAAGTGATACTTCTGTGAATGGAGGAAGGGCCTTATTGTGAGATTAAGATTGATAATATTTACTAAATCAGTTGGGCCACAAGGCCATGCAGTGTAAATGTCTGTACTCTCTGTTTTATTGTGACTATATTAGTTGTTAATTGTTAGAAATTAGTATTTATCAGTACAAATCCAATTTGCACAGTATAAATAATAGTTTTTCTTGGATGTTTTCTCACTGTGTTTGTATTAACTATTAGCCAGAGGTAGCAAGGAGTGTCTACATCTCCTGGCCTGTTAACCACAGCCGTTATTTCAAAACATTGAGTCTGATTAATGGGCCTAGGAGTTGGAGCACGGCTGAAAGAGGAAGGTTATTGAGTAGTGGCCGTGACAATATATAATATATAATATATATATATATATATATATATATATATATATATATATATATATATATATATATATATATATATATATATATATATATATATATATATATGGAGAGATGAGTTCAAGGTCGTCCGAGGGAAGACCGCGCTCTGCACGTAGCGAGAGTTTGTGGAACTAGGCCTATGTGATACTTAATGTAATTTACCGATTTAATATGGAGGCGAATTATGAAACTAAATATCAGTTATTAAATTAAAAGCAATGATAGATCGTTTATCAGTCTGAATAATGTTACGGGTGTCCCAAGAAAGTTATTAGTTAGGCGGAAAATATGTCACGTAGGCCTAAGCTAACGCCTTGAGAGGACACGAGGCTGGCTAGTCCTCAGTCATTTCACGATCTGACCAACAAGACGTCCCTGCGCGTCCGTCCACAGAAATAGTCACGTGGCCTAGTCACCTGTGTTGCGCTATTGCAGTATAACAAGTAAGTCTCATTCGATCTCAGTTAGATAGGGCAGTGATAAAGTTATCAAGAGCTAACAGTGAGTTAATTTCAGGGTTTCCGTCAGAACCCACTTGACTGCGAGAGATTGACTGCCGTTTGAGACTGCCGTTGATGATTGAGAATTGGCGATTGTCGCCGTTGAATCGATCAGTGTAGGCCTGTCACTGTTTAGCTGGGTAGCAAAGGATCTCTTGAGTGAATCTAGCCGTCTGGGTGCCCAGCTAACGACGGGATGATCGTTGGGGTCATCAGCTCTCCTCTACCTCGGCTCACAATACCACATGTCTCAAGCAGCTTAGTGAAACCCTTTTGCTAACGGGAAGCTAAAGCTTCTCTCAACTGTACAAGGTCTGATTGGCTCACTCCCTTCCGCTTCATGGATGTACTGGGGGTAAAGTGAAGCCAGCTGAGTGATACAGGGTCCCACACTGGGACCAAGAGTCAGTGGAGCTTAGAGGTACACTTTCCAAGGTGGAGAAAGGCTGATTTGGGCCTTAAACTACGGGTGCCTGTTGGTTGTCCCTTAAACCACTACGGACTGCAGGTGGAATCTGTGTGTGTGCTAGGTTAGGAAGCATGGTTCACGGGTATTGGTGGACTCAGTAACTTCTTAATAATAATGACAATGTTTTTGTGTGTAGTTAATACTATTTTTTCAGTTACTAACGTATGCTGTGTGCATTTAATATTTCTTTATAATCTCAATCTCCGGTATAACCTTTGTTCCCCAGAGTAGTGTTTAAGTTAGGTTAGGAGGTGTGTATCTGTTGGGGTAAAATAATTTTGTTGAGCGCCCTGAAGGCCTATTCAGGGTGGAGTTAATAAGTTCTGATTTTTTTATTCCATTTTCTCGGTGCTGGACATAATTTTGGTGAGTGCCCTTAAGGCCTATTCATTGTAGATTTATTAATTTCTTATTTTTTTAATACCATTTTCTCAGTGATTGATATTTTGTTGAAAGCCCTTAAAGCCTGGTTCATGTGTGCAAGCAACATTTCTTAATACTTTAAACTTATTGTCCTCTAATGAGGCATTGCCTGAGGTTCTCATAATTTCAACATCATGTATAACTTTTATTCCCCAGAGTAGTATTTTAAGTTCAGGTTAAGAGGTGCGCATATTGGTGTACCATTATTTGATTGTATTTGTAGTGTTGGAGGGAATATAAGTGTAAATTTTACAGTGTGTCTCATTCATCCCAGTCACAGACGCTATCCTTCTACGGGTCACGGACAATTCATTTTGTTTCGTAAATTTAAGTTGTCTTGTGCTTGTTCGGGATTTCTCTCAAAGGGGCGCTTTCACTGCAATTACCATCTAATAATCTTTAATAAACCCCAAGTCAAGTGAGAAATTAAAGTCCAGTAATTCCGACCGGTTACACACACACACACATATACATATATATATATATATATATATATATATATATATATATATATATATATATATATATATATATATATATATATATATATATATATATATATATATATATATATATAACCACAGAAGAAAAAGGGAAACAATGCAACACCTTAGCTTTCGTCTTAATTCAAGACATCTTCAGAGGCAAGTGAATTTATAGGGACTGAGAGAGGCTTACAAAACATCAGGTCAGGTCAATAACATAGGATTCACTTATTCCACTAATCCACACATAACCTCCACTGCACACGAAAAAAAGAGCTTATAAAAATGGGAAAATGGGCCATGTAACAAGTTATGTCAAGTCAGGCAAAAATATGAAACCACTAATATATATATATATATATATATATATATATATATATATATATATATATATATATATATATATATATATATATATATATATATATATATATATATATATATATATATATATATATATATATATATATATATATATATATATATATATATATATATCAAAATCACACAATGAAACAACGGGCACCTTAGCTTTCGTCTAAGGTGCTCGTTTTTTCCCATTTATCAAGATTTATCTTATCCACGTTTTCATTGTGGATCTACATGGATCTACATGATATATATATATATATATATATATATATATATATATATATATATATATATATATATATATATATATATATATATATATATATATATATATATATATATGTATATATATGCTTATAACCACAAGGAAAAAGAAAACACGAAGTTCCCAAGCACTTTCGTGTAATTCACATCTTCAGGGGTGAGTACAGACTAAGGAGAAGTACATAACAAGGTATATATATGTATATATATACAAAGGAAAATGAGATCCAGGTTTTTAGTTGTAAAGAAACGTCAATGTGGCATTTAAAAACTCATGCACTGTTAAACAAATGTTAATCAAGAACTCCCCCAACAATACAGGTGGCTGCATTTATAAGGTTCCTTGCAAGGCATGTAATATGTTTTACTTAGGCCAGACAGGTAAAGATCTTGTAACTAGACTTAAACAACATAAATATAGT